ATATTCCTATGTGTTATAATAAATGTACTCCTTACCTATACTCCATAGTAATTATTGTATGATTTCATTTTAGAACTATAATACATTCCCTAAGTTTCTAAAATTATCAGTAATAACTTTTTTGTTTCTTCGCAGTTGAATTCAATTATTTCCTTCTATTATTGCTGTCAGACATATTTTGGAACTTATTAGTCTACCCTCTATGACTTGTAACTGCTGTTTCAAAACTTTTATTCTACTGTCTTAATATTAAAAAGTAAAATAAACCTACTGTTGAAATGGTTGGCACAGAGGAAAAAGTTCAAAGTATAACTTGCAATGCCACGTTGGCTAACAACTCTGGCACTGGTTGCTTTAAACTTATTTAAGATTAACCTATCATTTTAGGCAGCTGTTCTCAAAAATCAAGAGAAAGATAAAGGCCTAAAGTCACTCTGATGTCAGCCAGGGAAACTAAAATGATTAAATATTCTTCCCCATTTTCTCTCCCTGCTATTCCTCCATCTCTAGAGAATGAATGTGGTATTTTTTCATTTAAATGTATGTATAATAAGTAGAAAGCAAAAAGTTAGAAACTCTAGGAAAGAAGAGAGTGCAGCAGAAGTGGGAAGAAATACCTACACAGTTCACAAATGCTTCAGAGAAAGGACTGACCAAATAGCTCAGCATATTAAATCACCTGTAAGCAGACATAGGGGCTGGGGGTTTGATCCCCTAGCCTGCTGTGCTAGCCCCGCCCCTGGAGCATGCTGAGATGGCAATTGAGACAGCAATTTAGACTGACTGTGGTGGTGTGTGCCTGTAATCCTAGCTCTTGGGAGGCTGTAAACAGGAGGATCACTGAGTCTGGTGCAGTAGTGAAACCCCAAACACCCTGTAAACCCTTCCCTAAATATAAAAAAATGCATCAGGGGCCAGGGAGATGGCTCAGTGGAATAAGCGCTTCCGTGGCAAGCGCAAGGACCTGAGTTCAATCCCCAGTTCCACCCCCAAAAAAAGCATCAAAAGGATTGAGCCCCACTAATTTTCAAATAATTGTAAATTAAAACAGCAAATCATTTTATTCATTAAATTACCAATAGTGATGGGGGGAAAAATATTTTTCTAACAACCATAACATTATAACTGAATTGTTCTGCTGGTCTGGTCTGAGTCTACATTAGGACAGTTAGAAAGCAATTTGGTGAAAGCAGTGAAAATAATTTTGTAGATATTCTACAGTCTGTTCAGCAACATTGCTTCTGGGAACCAACCACTAAACAATAAATGGAAATACAGAAAGAAGTCTTTCCTTCTCTCCCGAGAGATGCTTATCATTACACCATTTATCATATCAAAAAGCTAGAAGCAGCCTTTATCAGTGACCTATACATTGTTTGGCTGTCAGATTATTAGAGAACATCTACATAGACATATACATGTATCTAAAACCTTCAAATAAAAAAATACAGCAAAGCCAGTTATGATCCACCTATTTGATTTCACAGTCTAAGGTTAGGTTGCAACTCACAGCTGCAAAAGCACTGTTCTTAATGGTCACTAAAAGGCATAAAATGGAATATTAATTTATCCCACTATTAAATTTTATTTAAAACAAAATAAGGTTTAAAGCCTCATTTTTTTTTTGCCTTGAGATTATTGGAAGGATATTATACTTCTTTGATCAATAAGAGAGTGCTTCCAGATAACTCCATGTAAAGGTGATTTTCTACTAGATAACACATCTTTGCTCCTATGTCCAATCATGTTCTCTCTCCCTTCTCCCTCTCACCTTGCTCTTCCTCTGCCTGTCCTTCCCTCCCTCCCTCCCTCCCTCCCTCTTTCCCTCCTTTTTGTTCTCATTCTCATTGTAGGTCCTTCAGGGATTCTTTCACAATGTCTGCAAACCCCTGTGCTCTCTCTTGTAATTTCAAGCTGGTCGGATTTGCCCAGGTTACCCAGCATCTAATTGCAAGCACTTTCTATCAACATTAATCAGCCTTTGGTATCAGAAGTTCATTCTCAATGTAATCAGTTAATATTTGTTCAACCAGGTAGATTTCACCTGAATCAACAAGGAATTGCTAAAAACACCATTTCCTAGAAGAAAAAAAAAATGACAAATATGTAAGAGACTGTTAATGGGACAAAAATCAGAAACCAAAAAGTGATAACTTTTTATGTGGAATCTGTGTTTCATTTTCTTTAGAAATTGTATTTGAAAACAATCCATAATTTGTTTTATAATATATGCATATTTGCTAAATGTCTACGTAAGCATGCGTTATGCATTTACAGTCAGAAAAATATCTACACTGGCTCTGTGGAAAGTGATCTTTTTGCAAAGAAGCACTGTGTGCTCTCACTGTTGGTTTAGCTCATCTCCTCATGCAAATATGAATGCATGTGATTAAAATTCTGTTGAAGCAGAATGCCTCATCTTTGTCTCACAACATCTCGAGTACACTGTTCAGTACACAGTTGGCTGTAGAAAGTGGATACAGGAATGATATAGCCCAGGTTCCTTTTGTTAGTGTTTCACTTTATTATTCTCTTAGTAGAACCACTGTGCTTATTTGCTAAAACCTGACTAACTTGAGCTTTGGGAATCTAGTGTGACAGAGTTTTACTAAACCAAACCAGTATTTCTATCTGACTCTTATTCCTGTGGGCCAGAGTAATGCTCTTAATAAAAACTATAACTTCGATTGTTTCCATTTATTTCTGGTTTCAGCACAGGAATAGAATTCATTTCTCTTTTGGAAAAGAAACAGGTATTTCTTAGGACTCATAACAAGCCATATCAAATTATGCATATGAGTAGATTTTCTTTCTTTATGGGAATTAAGAGTAATGTTTCAAGTAACATCCTTTTTTTTTTACCAGATATCAGACTCATGATCTTGCACTTGCCACACAGAACTGTATCTCCAGCCCCAGGTTATGTCTTTACAAAAGTTTTCATTGTTTCTTACTTTTACATCTGACCCTGTGAAAATAATCTTTATGAAGATACACCTTAGAGATCTAGGGTGTCTGATACCACTAGCTTGTTGGTTTTCTGCTTGTGTATAAACCTTCATTTCCTGGTGGCATCTAACATGGTAATGAGTTACAGAATTGCTGGCAGGTCTAGATCCCCTCATTTGAGTGATGGGTGACCCAGTCCATCAACATCCACTGGTGACTGAAATATCGTCTTTTATTGATTCACATGCTAATTTAAAGTAGACAGAGTGAATATTAGGGGCAACTGGTAAATTTTAGTTAGGAATCATGGTATTAAGCTAACAAACACGGAAAGTCATTTAAGTGTTTCATGCAGCAGGATGTCATGACAGTAGCTGTGTTTCCCATCTGCGTGTGCGTGTGGATGATGGATTTCATCCAGTCTCATCTGGGGTTAGGAGAGTACTTCTCGGACAGATGTGGGCAGCACCAGTAAAGGGGGTAGAGGAAAAGGAACGGCCTCGTAGGATGCCAGAGATGAAGCATGGAAATAAGATGGACAGGCAGAGAATGCAGATGAGATCTTCAGACCATTCATCTGGTTTTTCTTTGCACTGAGTTCTGTAGAGACCAGGTATTTGTGGACTCCTGGAAATATGCTTTTGTGGTATCTCATAGGCAGGTAGTTTCTATACACTTATACCGTAATTTCAAAACAAATTAACCACAACTCAGAATCAGTGAAATTTTCGCATTATGTCATGATTGACTAAACCATTGAAGTGAGTTTTCTCCTGTGAGAGTTTCTTATGTTAAGAGGATTTGTATCTATTGAATGTCACAGAATGGCCCACCATATACAAACATAAAGAAGCTAGCCAGGCAGATGCAGTCTTGTATTCAGAAAAATGCCTTACTAATTCTAGCAGCAGCCACAAATTTTGTGTGCTGTCATGAATATTTTTGTGTTCATAGTGTGTTTAGGATTGTTGGTCACAGATATGAGTGTTAGTCATATATTCCTGCAGTTACAGAAACAACTCAGTCCGCAGTTGAGGCAAAACAACACACTTGCTCTAACCATGTGACTAGCTACAAACACAGTGGCAAAAGGGCCAAGCGAGAACAGTCCTTTTACTTTTTGTATTGCTCTATGAAATTGATTATGTATTTAATATTTTTGAAACTTCAGTTTGACTTATGTTTTTTTCTGAGAACTAGTACAAGGTAATTTAAAATAAACAAAAATCTCATTATCTAAGTGTTGTGGCCGCCGTCTCATTTAACCAAAATAACCTGGGTTGACTAGGACTTTGCTGAGTTGAGAAAAGGCTCAAAATCATTAAGATGTAGGAAATAGGAAAGGTTTTCTGGCTACCGCCTTAGCAACACTGATAGAAAAATGGTTAAATGTTTGCAGTAAAATTAAATGTGCTAGAGTTTCCAACAGATACTGGCATTCTTGGAATGTATTCACCCACTTATCTTTTATTTTAAAAATATTAAATTTTCTATACTGCAGACCACTGAGACACTTTAGCAAGAAACAAGTGAACAGACCCTTTTGAGACACTTCTGCTTCTTTTCTTGCCACATGATTAGATTAGATAACCAAATCTCTGTCTTCAATCTCTCTAGATGCTTTTGTTGAGTTATAAGGCTCATTGCTCTGCTCAGTGGACCTGGCAGCTGCAGTTATAATAGGATTCGTGAGACACCGGCCCAGGCCTGTCCTTCACTTCAGCTGGCAGTACTCAAAGAAACACTGGGCAAAGATCAAGGAGATTTGTTATGTGAGGCAATGGTCTGATGTGACTTAATCTGCCAGGTGCTTGTGTGTATTTGTGTGTGTGTGTGTGTGTGTGTGTGAGAGAGAGAGAGAGAGAGAGAGAGAGAGAGAGAGAGAGAGAGAGAGAGAGACAGACAGACAGACAGACAGACAGACAGACGGGGGAGGGAGAGGGAGAGGGAGAGGGAGAAGGCGAGAGAGAGAGAGAATGTGATTGGCTTAGGAGCTTTTTCAAAGGTTATATCAAAGTATCAGCCTAGATGTTAGAGACTAAGAGAGCAAATTGCCAATAGTGACAGTTCATAGAGTTCCACTTTCAATCTTACTCTCTGAGGTAGATTTTATCAAATCAGTGCATTCCAATTCTTGATACATGGCTGGATGAAAAGAAGAAAATTAGAAAAGTTCTGATATAAGCCTGGAGGAAATCAAGATTGGGGCAAAATAAAAGTGAAAATCCAGCCTCTATTTCACGAATACCTGCAGGATTATTGGTTAGTATTCTCTTCCTTTATTTATTGTTAACTTTGACCAAAAATGCCGATTATTTATTCTGCCCCAAATATACTTACCTGCTTTTTAATTTTAGGTATAAATTTTCTAACTAGCTTGGATTTGACATTTTTTTTCTCCTCCAACCTTATTTTCCCTTTTGTTACCTGACTATCTTTGTTTTCTCTTTACTTCTCTAGGTAATAATGGTCTTTCTAGTGCTGGAGTTTTTAAAATTTTCTTATTAAGAAAGGCCTTTGACTTCCTTCTTTTCTGATCACCATCAAAATGTAATTTGCTTTTCCAAAGTCTAATCTTTGAAGGCAGGACTACTGTTCTCAGCATTTCTGTAGTAGTTACATTTCTATAAAGTCGACATGGAGTATAATTTGGAGTCAGGAAGCACTTCAGAGTTTTAATTCTGTTCTGCTCAGCAGTCAGTTTACATTTACAAAAGTCTATAAAAAAAAAAAAAACTGACACCACAATTGCATGTGTGTGCTGTACCTCCTTCCAAGGTTCCTAAATTCTGAAGGATGGTCAAAACTTTGAAGAAAAGGAAAACATGACTTTGTCCTCTTATTCTTCTAGCTGTGCCTCTTTGCTCTATTGGGTTTCTTACTGTATGCCTGATCAAAGCAGCCCACCTTGCCTGATATGATGGACAGCACCACTCACTCTGTCTCCCTGTGAAGCCTTTAGGTCCACTCTCAACAGAAGAGTCCACTGCATTCACTCCAAACACCTGCTTTAAAACACTGCCCCAGAGTGCTCATTCTATCAATAATTCACTTAAAACTGGGAGTACTAGGCACTGTACTAGGTGTGGTGGACAGCAAGATGATGTTCCAAACAGAGAAGAGAAACCTACTGATTCCTTATAGTGCTGCAGGAGAGCTTTGTCTAAACTATAATGGAAGTAAGAGGAGAGAGACCAGACTTCACCTGATAGGGGATGAGGATTGTTAAGATGCTTCTAGGTTAAATACCCTTTGAGCTGAGGCTCGAGAAAATGAGTAGCAAAGGTGGGCAAGGGAGCAAGAGGACAAGCAATGAGATGAGACCTGGGAAGCCCTAGAACCTTCCAAGAAAATATGAACAGAGGAATGGAGAGTTTTGGAAAAATGGTAGAAAATGAAAAGAGAAAGACAGATAAAAAGTCAAAACAGATCATACAGGTATAGATGGCTCTTTCTGAGAATTTCTCATTTCTCTATGGGATTTGCAAGGTGAGCTGCAGATCTGCTAAATATGAACATCTCCATCTGTCACAATGACAAAAGATTTTTGCAAAGTTCTAGCAGGGTTATTTTCAGAATTAGGCCCAGCTTGGTCTGGGTGGGAGGGCTGTTGTATGCAAACTCTTTTCCTGGAGTCATCCAGACTCTTACTTTACTTCAAAGAAAGTGTCACGGGGCACTCAGCCCTCCTGAAGGTGGATAGGGCAGTGGCCAGTGGCTGGGCAGGCCAGAAGCTCGGAGTCTCATGTGCCCATTTGTTATGATTGTGCCAAATGCCTAACTATAACAATAATATGTGTGATGGCATGTCTGAGACTAAGTGAGTACATCTTGTTGCTCCTTGAAGTGATTCTTGAAAATAGCCACAGTGGCAGTTTGAAAACAACCTAGAATAATTAAAAAGTCTGTTGGACCAGAGCTGCTTGGCTATAATGTACTGTGCAGTCTAATGTGTAACCCTTCACCCCTCTGGCCTGTGTTTACCTCCATCTCATCTACAGACTGTGGGACCATTAGACTGAAGTGACCCTGGGGGCCTCAGCCTCCAAGGTCTCTGTGGCTGTGATTCTTCCTCCTCTGTCTCCCTTCCCTCTCTAGAATCCTACCTCTTTTTCCCCTCCCCAAGCCTGGTCCCCACCAGCCTGCTTAGGCTTGTAGCCCTTCTGATTCATAGGGAAATTAGCTATCCCATTTGTTTTCATACCAGTTATTCATTAAAAACTCTACACTAATAAACAAGGGAAACATTTTTCAAAAGGAAAAAGCTGTGATTGAACTTCTATCCTGTGCTGATAATAAAAGGAAAAAGAAAGTCTCAGTGTACCTTGTCAATTTCTCTTTTCCTCTTTGGACTTTTTTGAGGGTTTCTCTTCTGTTATCCTTTCTTTAAAAACAGAGTAAAGACTGGGTGGTAACTCTATGGGAGTGGAAGGTAGGTGCCAAGGAAAAAGGCTGACCTGGTTGCGGATTCTGCCACAGCTGGAGGAGCAGGGACAGTAGCCAATTAGTACCTTACTGTTACCTTTCTTACCTTTGAGGAATCTCTAGCTCACATACCTGCCACCCTCACATTACACTCTGGCTACAGTTCAGTCCTGGGTCTGTCCTCTAACCCTCAAACTACCCTTTGTTCTTTAACTGTCTTCTGCAGATTCAGAAACTACAGGTGTATGTGTGTCTGGATATTCTCAGGAATATCATCTAGAGCCTCTGGTCTCCATTTTTAACTTTCAGCAAAACCCACCCAACATATAAGGAACACACATCTGCTCAAATACTTCCAGGCATCTTGGTGGGGAGGCATCAAGTGGGATGATGGTAGGTAGAGTGTGCAGATTTTGCCCTCTGACTCTTGCAGACAGTAAAACAGAAACTTATGTATGCCACAAGCAGTTCCATCTCTGGAGACTTTCACATGTGACATGCATTATACTAAAAGTTGCAAAAATCATTGCAGACATAGAGCAATGAACAGCTGAGTCTCAGAGAGAGAAAGAGGGACATGGCGGGTGAGGAGGAGGGAAGATGCCTTCTGGAAGGCAGTGATGTCTGAATGTGATTTTGAAGGCCAGGTAGATTTGAAAATTATCTTGAAGCAGTAGCCTTTAACCTAAAGGAAGACACACCATGAGGGAGGCTGTGGAAGTTCTGAAGAAAAGAGGAGCTAGTGGGCTAAAATTGGAGGAGGAGGAGAAGGCACTATGGTCCAGAGAAAATCCTGAAAAGGAATCACCTCTTATGATGATGAATTAGATGTAAGAGGAGATGGAATAACCAGTGTCTAGATCAAGTAACTGGGTAAATGCTGATTTCATTGAGTGAGATGAGAACTAAAGGACACGAATCCACTTGTTCGTCTTTACAGGACCAGAGGGAGGTAGACAATGCCAAGTTCATCCTGATCAGTTGTTTTTGGTGCCCCGGAGCTTCCAGACATATCTCAGCGCCTGAAGCCCCTTGTGTCTCTATAGAATCTAGATGCCGATGCTGTGTAAACTGCCCCCCTGCAGATTTCACCTAGCATTTCTTCCTCATTTTAAACATACGGGTTTAATTTTAACATGGTCACAAGTGGTTGAAATGCAAAATTTTACTTTATCCATTTTTCAATGAGAAAGAGAGATGTTTTATTTCTGTTCTACAAATTGTGAAATAACAGATTTCACTCAGATGATTATAAGAAAAAAAATGCTTTTTGTCTGTTGGTCTGTTTGACGTCCTGGTAGGTAGACAGTCTCTGTGACTCAGGGCTTGGTTCAGCCTATTGCTTTGAATTCTCTTCCACCAGCCATTTGATTTAGATGAAGTCTGCCCAAGTCATTCAATGACAGTTTCCTGAGTTATGGCATGATGGGCACCCAAGAAAGTAAGTGTAAGCCTGTGGGAGCTAAGCATTCAATTCAGGAGGACTGAAAAACCCTCCTGTACCAGTATTTGCAAGGACATGCTACAGAGATAGATTGGCCCTAATACAGTCTCCATGTTATTGCATTTTTTTTACGCGAGGCTTTCACTTTGATTTTGATTTATCTTCCTATTCATGTATTATCTGAATCAAAATTTATTTTAATTAGCTTGGAGTCAAAATGAAAGGTAAAGCCAACAAACTGATAAAGGAAGCATCTTTCAGGTTTTCACACTTTCTTTGGAATCATCTCAGATCCATTCACATATTCAAATCTCATTTTATCAAAATCAAATCCACAGGCCTGCTTTATACTAGCTCAACTCAGAAGGTGAATCAGTTCACCAGAATGCCAATATGTTTTTTTTTTAATTTTCCACTGCACTGTTGCACAACTTTATCTCAGCTGATCACTATGTTAGTTTTCCAGAAAGAGGGTGTATGTAGAATGTAAGATAAGAGTCAGAATATCATTTGGCAACTCTAGAGTTAAAATGCAGGGAAGTGGATGACTTCAAGGGACAGCATCATCAAGCTGGCTACAAATCAGAGATTATTGAACCTCTTTCAGTGGGGGGGGGGCATTCTTGTTTGCAGGTCAAAGTAGCTGAAAGAGAAAAAGCTATGAAATATTTTTTCAGTATCCCTTGCCCATTATTATCATTTGATTGTACTAACTTATCACTAAAGCTCCTGGATCTGAATTTATATGTAGTGCTTAAAAATCCCTCTCCAGTGAGGTGGAGAGGTACACATGGTAATCTCAGCATTATGGGAGGCTGATACAGGAGAACTGAAAATTTGAACCCAGCCTGGGGAATTTAACAACTTAATAAGAGCCTGTCTCAAAATTAACAAAATGAGGAAAGAGCTCTTTACATGGACATTAGACATTGGACATGTTACTGTAGTGACTGAGTTGTTATCTTCCCCATTAATGTTTAGGAAGTCAACCTCAGTCTCTCTTGTAGACTTTTAGAAACTTACTTTTCTATTGTTTTCATAACAAATTACCACAAATCTAATGGTTTAAAACATCATTCATTTATTATTTTACAGTTTTATAGATGAGAGGTCTGAGCATAGTGTGGCTTAATTTTACTTCTCTGCTTAGAGTTCACAAAAATAAAACCCAAGTGTCACAAGGGTTGTATTACCTTCTGCAGGCTTCTGCTTCCAAGGTCTTTCCTGTTGTTGGCCAAGTGTGCTTGTTTGCCACTGTAGGACCATGTTGCCCATTTCCCTGCAGCCTGTGGGCTAGGAGCCAGGCTGTGCTCCCAAACGCTGTCTGCACTGCCCTTCACGCTTGCTCTGTGATCCCTGAAGGAAAGACAGAGCAAGTTCCTCTCGAATTTCT